TTCAACCACTTTGTCTTCCATTTCGCTGCAATGTGTCTCAATGCGCCGGCATGGCGCTCTTACGCAGCTGCGTTTGTGACTGGCCGGGTGGTTGTTGTTGAAGTTCACAACTTGCATAATGTTGGTCGCTTTACTGAACACCTTAGATTTTAGGCCACCGCTGTCTTTGCGGCAAACGAGGACATCCAGAAAATATAGATGATTGTCTTCTTCCTTCTCCATCGTAAATTGAATGTCCGGAAGACGGCGTTCAGACGTTCCTTGAATGTCAGCACTTGATCCCGCTCGCGTACAACGAAGATGTCATCCACATACCCAGCCCAAAATTTCAGTCTATAGTGTTAGAAAACCAGCGACTCAAACCGTTACAAGACCGCCCCGGCTATAAGTCCTGAAATTGGCTAACTCATGGGCGTGCCCTTCACCTGCTCGTAGATTGTCCCGTTGAACTTAAAGTGCGTTTTGAGACATAACTTCAGGATTTGGAGAATTTGGGTGTGTCCGAGATGCTTTTCCGTTTCATCGTACTTGTTTCATAGGAGTAATTTGGCCAAAAGAGCCGTACGGCCTTTATAAAGGCTGTACACGAGCACAAGATTAGTGTAAGGATTAAAAAATAATCTTAAACCTTTCCGGTCCAGAGCGGTTAAGTTTTCGCAATTTTCCAGCCAAATCCCTTTTGTTATCCACATTTAACTTTTCACAACGGTTCAGCAAACAAACCAGATTTTACTATATCCATGGGTCATCGTGTATTTTGACGTCAGGTAGATAAGCCGTTAAGCAAAATTTGCCAAAAGCCAGCAGGTGCCAAACCATTTACCGCTAGCCTAACTGGTAGTTTGTAAGTCATTCTGGCTATTTTTAAATTCTTGCTTCTGATTTAAAGTGTTCTCATAGTCAAACTAACAACACTGTCTGACTACTGGATTTGCCTAGTATTACTGGTGAATCCCAAATGGGATTGAGATATCAACACCTTTTTGTATAGGTTTATTGAAACCATCTTGTTTTTGCCTTAAGTCGTACTTACTATCTCTATTACGATTTTGAAGCGACTTATATGGGAGCATCAGCCGCAATCTATCTGCTTAACAAGAATCTCCATGTCTCCGCCGAACCTCTCGAAGGATGGTCTGCCAACATTTACGTCAGGTCAGAATTGCCTACCTCTCGTGTGTCTGTGATTTCCCCTTCGGGTAGGTTTATACCGTCGGCACATCATAATTCCTCCCCAAAGTAACCTTACTTTCCCCGCTTACATTGTACTGCTTTGATGAT